GGGGAGGAGCCACAACGCTGACTGACAGCCCAGGGGAGGAGCCACAATGCTGACTGACAGCCCAGGGGAGGAGCAACAACGCTGACTGACAATTCAGGGTAGAAGTCACATTGCTGACTGACTTTCCAAGGGAGGAGCCACCACGTTGACTGACAGCCCGGGGAGGAGCCACACCGCCGACAACATTTATAGGGGAGGAGCTACTTAGCTTGACTGACAGTTCGGGGAGGAACCTCACCGCCGAATGACTACACAGAGGAGGAGCCTAGACCAGAAGAACTGGAAGCTTCACACCGCTGACTGCCAAAGAGGAGGGACCAGGACTCAGATGGGCGGGGCTACGCGCCTCTGAGAGACCGGGGGAGGGGAGACGGGATGTGGGCGGGTGTACGGGCTTTGAGTGGCATGTGCTGTGGAGTGGACGGGAAAGCAGACATTACCTCAGACAGTTGACACGGCGGAGGGGAACCACCGGGCTGCTAGGGTGGGGAGCCGGGGTACTCATCGTAATATAAGTGGGGGCAGCGGGACTCTAGGGTGGAGTGTTCCTAGTATTGAAGACCCTGGGTGGGGGAAGGGTGCAAACAACTCAAATTCTACCCCTTTGGGGGTGGAGGAGGGGTGTACATAACTCCATTCATAGCCCTCAGGGGTGGAGGAGGGGTGTACACTTCTCCATTCATACCCCATGGGGGTGGTGTACACATCTCTATTTGTACACATGTCCATTCATACCCCGTGGGGGTGGAGGAGGGGTGTACACATGTCCATTCATACCCCCTGGGGGTGGAGGAGGGGTGTACACATGTCCATTCATACCCCCTGGGGTTGGAGGAGGGGTGTACACATGTCCATTCATACCCCTGAGGGGTGTACACTTCTCCATTCATACCCCCTGGGTGTGGAGGAGGGGTGTACACATGTCCATTCATACCCCCTGGGGTTGGAGGAGGGGTGTACACATGTCCATTCATACACCCTGGGGGTGGAGGAGGGGCCGTGTCTCCCCTCCCCCCACATACAGCGTCTTTGGGAAGAAGTCTTCAGCACGTACCGAGCCCCGGGTGACCACAGATGAAGAGGACCTGTCTACATCACCGAGTGCAACCCATCGGGGTCACCTCTGGAGCACCTAGTAAGATGCCCTGAACTGTGTGACAATATATAAAACCAGACAGGGGTTCTAATCCCTCCCCACTCCATACAAAACTGACACTGAGGCCCCCGGGGGGCAGGCCGTCCTTCGCTACCCCCCCTAATAGTCCTGAGATGGGGGTGGGGAGTTCGATGGTAGTTTTGTTTTGGGCTGGCAGAGCTCAATAGAAGTGACCTGTCCACACAGATGTGTTAGGGTGCAAGGAGCAGAGCGGGGCCCTGGGGTTGGGGGGCCACAGAAGGGAGGGCCGTAGAGACAGAAAATGTGTGTAGGAGGAAAGCAGGAGCGAGGAGGATAGAAACAGGGCGGTTCAGGTGGCTAGGAAGGGAGCAGAATGTCCAGGAGCGGGTCCCTGGGGTTGGGGGCCACAAGAGGGAGGAGTATAGAACCAGGGTGGATAGGAGGGGAGCCGAATGGCCAAAAGCAGGGCCCCAGTTTTCGGGACCATAGGAAAGAGCCACACAGAACCTGGTTAGAACAGGTAGTTAGAAGAAAGGATGTCAGGAGCTGAGTAGGGCCCTGGGGTTGGGGGCCACAGGAGGGAGCAGTAGAGGAGATCAAGTTTAGGGCCAGAGTGGGGAGCAATAGGGAGCCAGGGCAGAACAAGTAGTTAAAAGGGGGGTAGAGGATGCTAGGAGCAAGGCGGGGCCCCCAGAGTTGGGGGGCCACAAGAGTGAGCAACTGAGAGCCAACCCAGGGTATAACAGGTGGCTGGGAGGTGTCTGAAATGGGCACCCAGCTGCTGAGTTGGTGTCATTGTCCCTCTGGGAAATGAGGGCCACCGAATCCCCAGTGCTGCGAGCGGACATATTCCACATTACACATGATTATATCTTCCTGCACACTGAACATGCTGATTGCCTGGCTGTCATGACCATCCACAGGCTTCAATGCTTTGAGTCACTGACCCGGAACAAGTCCGCAGGAAAGGGCTCCTGACACTTATGTCAGTACTGAAGCCAGGCGCCGGGTATTTTCAGGCGGAGGGCCCCGGTGTGACATTGGCTTTCATCTGCTTGGTTTCTAAATGAAGTTTATTATTGTTATTTGTATGATGACTTCCTGGCCCGGTGACTACACAGGCAATAAAGCCTGACAGAGGTTCTAACCCCTCCATACTTCCACAACTAAATATCGTGTATGTATATATGTCAGTTTTGGTTGGATTTGTACTTCACTGTCTACAGAGCTGGAAGATTGCAAATGTTAATGCCTGTAGGGAAGAGTGGTGGGAATTGGGGGGTCCCCATGATCTAATATCTGTAGCATAGCAGAGGGAGGTGGGAATGGGGGTCCTCACAATCTATTATCTATGGCTTTGTGGAGAGAGCTGGGAAATGGGACTCCTCATGATCCAACATTCATGGTGTAACAGAGGGGTGTGGGAATTAGGGGGGTCCCTATGATCTAATATCTATAGCATAGTGGAGGGAAGTGGGATTTGGGAGTTCCCCATGATCTAATATCCATGGCATAGTAGAGGAAGGTGGGATTTGGGGGGTCCTCTTGATCTAATATCTAGGACATTGCGGGGGGAGGTGGGATTTGGGGGGTCCTCTTGATCTAATATCTAGGACATTGCGGGGGGAGGTGGGATTTGGGGGGTCCTCTTGATCTAATATCTAGGACATTGCGGGGGGAGGTGGGATTTGGGGGGTCCTCTTGATCTAATATCTAGGACATTGCGGGGGGAGGTGGGATTTGGGGGGTCCTCTTGATCTAATATCTAGGACATTGCGGGGGGAGGTGGGATTTGGGGGGTCCTCTTGATCTAATATCTAGGACATTGCGGGGGGAGGTGGGATTTGGGGGGTCCTCTTGATCTAATATCTAGGACATTGCGGGGGGAGGTGGGATTTGGGGGGTCCTCTTGATCTAATATCTAGGACATTGCGGGGGGAGGTGGGATTTGGGGGGTCCTCTTGATCTAATATCTAGGACATTGCGGGGGGAGGTGGGATTTGGGGGTCCTCTTGATCTAATAGCCATGACTCTTTGCTGGAAAGGACAAGGACGCCCTCTGCGTGCCGCGAGTCAAGATACATTAAAGTGCCAGCGCAGATCATTTTATAACATTGTCAGGATAGAGGGCCGAGCCACAGAGCGAGTGGCCAACCGCGCGTCCCTGGTTTTCGTTTTTGGGATCTGTGATGGAAGTGATGACATCCAAATATCTTCCACGTTAAGACGGCAACGCTGAACTTCCAAACAGCCGTCCTTTCACTTTCACTCACTAGGTGGCGCCGTCAGCACAGCTCCAGTCAATACAAGTGACTCTGCACTTCCCAGCTTTGCCAGCAGATGGCGCCGTCTACTAACAATTCCTCTCATTGTATAATAGTTTCATGCTGGGACTTCCAATCCAGGGTTAAAGGGCAAATGACTTCGTGTCCATGAAAGCAGCCATTCTGCTGGTAGGATGGAGAGTGCACTGAAAGCCATCGAAGCTTGCGACATGGCTAGGATATGGGGGATCAGGTGCCCTTATGCCGCACAGCCATGTTTCAGTAAACTCCTGTTTTTGAAATCTTTGTTGCATCTCTGTGCTGCAGCTCACCCACAGCTTCTTTGCAGCCACTTCCTGTCTACATTCTAACGACTACATTTCATTTCTCAGAGTGGCGACAGCAGCGGACCATGCCTGTGCAGTGTGTGTTGAAACTTGCAGTCTCCATTGGAAGCCCGTGTGATGTTGACAAAGTGGGAGGACAATTGGAAGACTGGGACATAGCATTGTCACCCTATAACAGGAAGTGCCTGAACAAGGACCTCCACAGCAGGATCACCAGAGATTAGAAATGTACATCGTATGAGAGTTCAGCGATCGGGTTTACCTCTAGCAGCTGTCAGATTTTCTTGTATCATATCATCCTTCAGTTGTCACGGCCATCTGGAAGTTGTGTGTGCATGGGGAAAATACTTCCCTCACTATCATGATTCTGATCTACAGCACCCGTGTGCATGCAGCGGGAAAATACTTCCCCTGCTAACATGATCCTTACCTGTGATGCCTGTCTCTGCGTGCCATTTATAACACCATATGTATATATAGATTTGTAAAAAAAAGAGTCAAGAAAATTTTCCTTAAATGTTTTTTTTATTATATTTTTATTATTTTTTCCATCAGCCTTCATTAAAAAAGCAAAAACAGAAAAATAAGCAAAAAAAAACAAAATTAAATAATCTTAATATTCCCTCTTTGTCACACCAGTGTAGAACTTCAAGTAAAAGTGTTTTCAATAAGGGAAGGCACACCTCTCGCCACCACCCCCACCCGCAGCACCTTCTCCCGGCCTCGGGCCACGCCGGGTCAATTTGTTTAGTGCAAGGACAGAAAGACAAAAGGGGACGAGGGGGCTAAAAGCGAGCACACCCAGGTCCACCGTGTCCCCCCTGGCCGGCCCGGCCCATCCCGAAACTGGGAGAAGTTCCGGATTGTACCAGCCCAGTCTAGAACCGCACGAAGCCGCCAATCATCCCGACATCCACACACAACACAACTGCTCTCTCTAAGAGGTCCTGCGGCGGCGGCACCACCACCGGTCCCTGGCTGGCTGTAAAGCGTGACACGTACGCGTGTGAAGGATTTGTGTATCGGGCGTAGGGAGGAGACTACACAGAAATATCCCACCTGTGTATATACAAGATGAGAGCCCGTGTGCATTAGGGGCCCCGGTGCATTAGACTAGAGTGCAAATAGCTTACATTGGGGCCTATTTATAAGTAGCTGGCAACAGAACCGGACTTTCATTTCCTCAATGTACGCCTTATGAAAAAGGATCAAGTTTTACAGTTGATGTTGGGATGTCAAAGTAAAAAAATATATAAGGGGCAAGTCCAAGGAAGCTTGATGCACTCCAGAAGATTCAAACGGTGACAAGCTTTATTGATCTGGACAGAGTCCCCATCTGGAACCAGCGCCTCCTCACTTGACGCATTTTACCCCCTAACCGCTACAGTTAGGCCCAGACTAGTGGGTGAAATGCATCTGTGGAGGAGGGAACTTTGTTCACTATGTCCGGATCAATAAAGATGGTCAGCGCTTGAAGCTTCTGGAGTGCAGCCAGCTTCCTTCTTTGGGTGCGGAGCCCCTGCTGTTGTCTTGCACCTGCTTTGTGAGCGGCACGACTTCAGGTATGTTGTGTAGATAGATAGATTTAGGATGAAAATGAACAAAATTTAGTAAAAATCAAAAGGCCAGAAAGCCCTTTATATGTCCTGAATTATCCAGATATCACTGTAATATATTCACTCATGGTGAATGAACTGGAAAAACTTCCCACAAGACCCTTATAAATAGGCCCCTTTATATTCTCCGATAGCCGATACACAAAACACAACCTGCCGCTATCGCCGGGGGAAAGGGGAGCTCCGGACACATCGTGCCGTACATTGGCAAAGAGCGGTCCTGAGCAGCCGCCGTCATGTGACCGGCGGGTTGGGGAAGAGGGCGGTCTGACTTTCATCAATATTTTTTATTTTTACACATCATCCCGCTTACTGTATGGCTTTGGAATTTGCAGTTTTTATAAATTCAGACCCTAAAAACCAGCAGACAAAAAAACTGTTTTATATACAGAGATCGCCAACAAACACACGTATGTACACAATGCAAACCTCGGGGGACCCCAAACGCGGGGGGTCCGGCCCCCTCCGCCATTGGATACCGAACGGTCAGACGAGTGGCGGGGTGGTTAGAATTAAAAAAACAAAAAAAATCTAAGAAAAAAAACACAGAAATAGAAAAGCCTGGTGTGTGAATATATCATATAGAATTATATAGTGTAATATTTATTAGCTGTACGCTATATACTGCACAAGAACCGCCCTCCGTCGCACCGTATACTCCGCTCTAACTGTGAGGGCCAAAAAACTACCCACGCTAAACATTCTTGGATGAGGACGACTTGAGGGGGGGGGTCAGCTGACCACAGCCTGCTGTAGGTTCTACACGGAAAGTGGTTATTCTAAAGCACGAAATAAAAACAAAAATATATAAAAATGGCAATTTTCTTTTTTAAATTAGAAGTTTTTGAATTTAAAAAAAAAATTAAGGATTATGGTATAGTTAGGGGGTGGTGTGAATTTTGGGGTGAAATCCGTCTACAAAATATCTCCGGGATATTTTACCTTGGTTGATATGAGGGAAAACGAGGAGAGAGATTGCTCAGAAGCTCAGTGAAACGCGTAAACTTGTTGCTGCAAAAACCAGAGAAGATACCGATAGGGACTCGTTTTGGAACTTTTTTTTTTCTTTTTTTAAATTAGAAGTTTTTTTTTTTTTTTCTTTTTTAAATTAGAAGTTTTTGAATAACAAAAATGAAGGATTATGGTATAATTAGGGGATGGTGTGAATTTTGGGGTGAAATCCATCTACAAAATATCTCTGGGATATTTTACCTTAGTCGATATTATGGGAAAACAGATTGCGCAGCTTTGTGAAACGCGTAAATTGGTGGATGCAAAACCATCACCCGCCCTTTTCATAAATCAGCCACAGAAGATACCGATTAGGACTCGTTTTGGAACCTTTAAGTAGCTGGCAACAGAACCGGACTTTCATTTCCTCAATGTACGCCTTATGAAAAAGGATCAAGTTTTACAGTTGATGTTGGGATGTCAAAGTAAAAAAATATATAAGGGGCAAGTCCAAGGAAGCTTGATGCACTCCAGAAGATTCAAACGGTGACAAGCTTTATTGATCTGGACAGAGTCCCCATCTGGAACCAGCGCCTCCTCACTTGACGCATTTTACCCCCTAACCGCTACAGTTAGGCCCAGACTAGTGGGTGAAATGCATCTGTGGAGGAGGGGACTTTGTTCACTATGTCCGGATCAATAAAGATGGTCAGCGCTTGAAGCTTCTGGAGTGCAGCCAGCTTCCTTCTTTGGGTGCGGAGCCCCTGCTGTTGTCTTGCACCTGCTTTGTGAGCGGCACGACTTCAGGTATGTTGTGTAGATAGATAGATTTAGGATGAAAATGAACAAAATTTAGTAAAAATCAAAAGGCCAGAAAGCCCTTTATATGTCCTGAATTATCCAGATATCACTGTAATATATTCACTCATGGTGAATGAACTGGAAAAACTTCCCACAAGACCCTTATAAATAGGCCCCTTTATATTCTCCGATAGCCGATACACAAAACACAACCTGCCGCTATCGCCGGGGGAAAGGGGAGCTCCGGACACATCGTGCCGTACATTGGCAAAGAGCGGTCCTGAGCAGCCGCCGTCATGTGACCGGCGGGTTGGGGAAGAGGGCGGTCTGACTTTCATCAATATTTTTTATTTTTACACATCATCCCGCTTACTGTATGGCTTTGGAATTTGCAGTTTTTATAAATTCAGACCCTAAAAACCAGCAGACAAAAAAACTGTTTTATATACAGAGATCGCCAACAAACACACGTATGTACACAATGCAAACCTCGGGGGACCCCAAACGCGGGGGGTCCGGCCCCCTCCGCCATTGGATACCGAACGGTCAGACGAGTGGCGGGGTGGTTAGAATTAAAAAAACAAAAAAAATCTAAGAAAAAAAACACAGAAATAGAAAAGCCTGGTGTGTGAATATATCATATAGAATTATATAGTGTAATATTTATTAGCTGTACGCTATATACTGCACAAGAACCGCCCTCCGTCGCACCGTATACTCCGCTCTAACTGTGAGGGCCAAAAAACTACCCACGCTAAACATTCTTGGATGAGCATTTTTTTTACCACTTGAGGGGGGGGGGTCAGCTGACCACAGCCTGCTGTAGGTTCTACACGGAAAGTGGTTATTCTAAAGCACGAAATAAAAACAAAAATATATAAAAATGGCAATTTTCTTTTTTAAATTAGAAGTTTTTGAATTTAAAAAAAAAATTAAGGATTATGGTATAGTTAGGGGGTGGTGTGAATTTTGGGGTGAAATCCGTCTACAAAATATCTCCGGGATATTTTACCTTGGTTGATATGAGGGAAAACGAGGAGAGAGATTGCTCAGAAGCTCAGTGAAACGCGTAAACTTGTTGCTGCAAAAACCAGAGAAGATACCGATAGGGACTCGTTTTGGAACTTTTTTTTTTTCTTTTTTAAATTAGAAGTTTTTGAATAACAAAAATGAAGGATTATGGTATAATTAGGGGATGGTGTGAATTTTGGGGTGAAATCCATCTACAAAATATCTCTGGGATATTTTACCTTAGTCGATATTATGGGAAAACAGATTGCTCAGCTTTGTGAAACGCGTAAATTGGTGGATGCAAAACCATCACCCGCCCTTTTCATAAATCAGCCACAGAAGATACCGATTAGGACTCGTTTTGGAACCTTTTTTTAAATACGATTTTATGAATCGTATGATGATCACAATTTCTGATGAAGAGCTTCAAGCGAGGAGGAACTTTTTGGAAAAGGCCTGTGAAGGTTCTCATTCGTCCAGGTCATGGTATATCCGGAGAAAAATAAACCACCGGAGTTGACTTTTTTTTTTTTCTTGACGTTTCACTGTTCAGCTGATTAGTTTTCTCATTTCTAAATTGATAAAGCTGGTCGGATGACCAGCGAATCGCCTTCAAGAAAAAAAAATACAGCAAGCGCAGTTGTTTTGATGTATTATTAATATTTTCTACAGATCTACTTTTTTGGAAAATGCTTCTCAAGGACTAAGCCCAGATGGCGAAACGCAGCAGAGCGGAGTCACGTCTGACGAAGAAGTTACCCGGGTTAATGCCAATAAAACTATAGGAAAGAAAAAGCAGAGGCGGGACCCTGATGAGCACCCATGGACGGTTGCTGCTTAGTCATCTGCAGCAGTGTCACTCATATTGAGGAGCAGTTGCGGTGGGACACTATTGTGGGCTCCTGGTCTGGAAACCCGGGGGGTTGCTTATCAAAAAGCAACAGCCAAAAAAATGTTCAACCAAGCTATTCAAACTGAAAATATCAGCCAGAATTTTTTTATTGGTTGGTAGATGGGATTCCACTAAACGCCAGTCAGCAGTTGACTTTTTGTCAAAATGCCATCGTCCAATCACATGCTAACACTGCAACCCTCTGGGTGAGCTATTGCTCCTTGCAATGAAGTGTCACCTGTTGCAAAGGAATTCCGACTCGTATACAATGGAGAATGGCTGGAGCTTTCTGATCGCAAAGATTTTTAATTCAGTTCAGGCCGTTATGTATTGAAACACGTATTAGGTTTTCCATGGATGAATGATCCCCACCAGCTGCGTGCTGGAGAGGACCGCATCCTTCTAGTGTTTATGGACACCAGGGAAAGCCTCCAATCACAAGGCCATGGTCCACCCGTCTCCGTAGAAGTCAAGCACTCCCTACGTGTAACAAATAGAAGGGCCAACCTATGACTTCAACAATAGCACAGCTTTATTGTCCTGGGCAAGATCACAAAACTTTTCACCCACATGCTCCCGAGTTGCCGCGTTTCACCCGGAAAGGGCTCAGTCCTCCACAACTTCTGTGAAAAATGTGTCAGTGAGGAGGGTCTGTGCAGGGACCTTTACTGATCTTGCCCAGAACAATAAAGCTTTGCTATTGATGTTATCAGAGTGCGACCACCTTTTCTGTTTACTCCTAGTGTTTATCGGTGACCTACAATGCTCAGTTAGTTGAACTCCGAGTTTTGTTTTGTTTTAAAATCCTGCCTTGTTCAAGCAATAGTGTCAGACGTTTGAAAGAAAAGATCCACCCCGTCAAAAACAAAATGAATTTTGGTCAGCCAAGAAAGAGCGTTTATAGAGTACGGCCCTCACAACACCGTCGTTCTACAGTGCGAGAGAGAGCGTGCAAACCTTTCAGAAGCAGAAATTGGCCTTCGGAGCCGCGTGGCGTGTCGCGAGGAATATCAGACAGTAGGTTAGGAAACTTTCCGGAGTGCTACAACCTTGTCATATTAACCCCCTCCTGTCCTTATCACTTATCATGGTCTGTAAACTGTACAGAGGTGGGATGGGTTGGGGGGAATACAAAAATAGGCAATTCTCTGGAAGGAAGAAACTTCCAGAGGGTTCTTGGTCCAAAACAACGAAAATTAAATAAGTAAATTATTTTCTATTACTGGGGTGACACATTACTGACACAGGAATGGATAAGAAAGAAATCTGTTATCGCCTGATAGAAGTTGCTTATCCTTTATGGTGTCATTAAAGGGTAAGCCCACCCAATTATGGTATTTCACTTGCAGATGGCAACCGAAGGACTGCTCGGGGGACTCCAGTGGTGAGATCTCACGGTCGTCCGGCCCTGGTGTCCTATAGCCAGGCACAAGAGTTTCACACCTTTCGCTGCATGCTCCGTAACATAAAACAAGTGAAGATTCAGAGCAAAGAGCGAACATGTGTAGAGATATCACCACTGGGGTCCCACGGACTTAGTAATCCGCCCAAACTGAAATTAAGGGTGGGAGTTCCCCCCCTTCAACCTTTAAAAATTTACAAAAGTGCTTTTAATCAGTTGCATCTCAAGTACCACACACACACCATGTCTTAAGAGGAATGGGGAGGTTTCCCTTAAACACCTCCGTGGGGGTGGGCTCACAGTGGATATAGTGGTGACCCAGTCACCTCTTCAAGCCCAGCTGACCACCACCAGACACAGGCTTGGCATGTAGAGTGCAGTAATGTGTCCCCGTTACCCCGAAAAGAACAAAAACATTCAATAATAATTTAAATAACAAAGAAAAAAAAAATCAGCTCCAGCACACTACACACGGGAGCCCGCGCTGCTCACATTTATTACCCATATTGCCACCCAAAAAAAAAAAAGGCGCCCAACAACGCACACAGGGTCCTGCCCTTACTAACCTCCATTCTATTCACCATCTAAAACTGGCTCTCCAAACTACCCAATCACTGGAAAGAATAAAATAATTTATAGGTTGATTAGTTGGGGGGAGGGAAGGGGGGTCTGGTTTAAGGATGTCAATGGCTTAAATGATCAGAAAATGGTATTGAAAACATGGAACTGAAATCACCAAATACAACCAATTATCACCTAGTACCCAACACCCTCACAAAATGCGATTCTGTGCCTGCACCATGTACTACATCATACTGACCCTGCACAGCTCATGCAGGAACAGGGCAATCCCCTTCCCTCTAAAAAGGAAGTGAAGCTAGTTTTTTTTGTTAAATCGGACCAGAAGATAAGATTTCCGATCACTGTACAGGATCATTTGTGGTGTACGGGCACCATCACGATGCGCTGTAAAGCAATAACACAAGTTATGTTATGAGAGGTCACTTTTACATACAAGTCATTTCAAAACCAGTGACACATCGGTTGATGTAGACCTGCAAAGCCCCAGCATGGTTTGTGGAACATCTACAACGCACGTTTATTGTCCAGGAAGGTGGCGGGGCGCCCCTGGGCGGCAGAAGCCTTTACAACATACGTTAATCACCCTTGAAGGTGGTTGGGCGCCCATGGGTGGCAGAAGCCTTTACAACACACCTTGATCACCCTTGAAGGTGGTTGGGTGCCCATGAGCGGCAGAGGCCTTTACAACACACGTTGATCACCCTTGAAGGTGGTTGGGCGCCCATGGGTGGCAGAAGCCTTTACAACACACGTTGATCACCCTTGAAGGTGGTTGGGCACCCATGGGCGGCAGAAGCCTTTACAACACACATTGATCACCCAAGACGGTGGTTGGGTGCCCATGGGCGGCAGAAGCCTTTACAACACACGTTGATCACCCAAGACGGTGGTGGGGCACCCAAGGGCGGCAGAAGCTTTTACAACACACGTTGATCACCCAGGAAGGTGGTGGGGGGCCCATGGGCGGCATAAGCCTTTACAACACACGTTTAATCAAGGTGGCCTATTAAAAGCGGATTGGTATTCAAGATGCACCCAGGTAGGGGAGAGCGCCTCCCGCCACCTCCAAAATATAACTTTTTTTTTTTGTTTGCAGCTAAGCGATATCGGTTATCATGGAGTAATGACGATAGGATTTGCACATTGCGGGTTGCTAACAAGACACTCGTACAGTCAGAGAAGGCACAGCACCATAAAGCAAGGAACGTGTGGGGGGGCTCCTCAATCAAATCCCCCCCAGCCCCCACCGCTCCACCATTGCAGCGTCACCCAAACAGCTCACAAAACAAATTATTGCTCTCTTGTCTTATCTCT